GCACCATTAGCCACATAAATATTAGAACAATTTATATTACGAATTAAATCACTGCCAATCAAGATAACCATTTTAACTCATTGCTGTGATTACACAATAGGAAGGATCAATACATCAATTTCTGCACAAAAGAAAAGAAAGAAAGAGAGAAAGAGAGAAGAGAGAGAGAAGAAGAAGAAGAAGAAGAAGAAGAAGACGGGTTCTTTGATGTTTTTTAACCTTGATATTAGGTGGAAAAGTCGGGGCAATATCAGGCAAGTCCTCAATGATGTCCTCAAAATGCCTACCAACTACCCCAAGACATAAACTCACCAAGCTGGGAGGCTTTCTGAGTGGCCAAGACATAAACTTGGTTGATTTCTGAGTGGCCTTGTTGGGATTGAGATGCAAATCGAGCTGTTGAAACGAGGTCGTTAGGTCTCTGGCTTTGACATTTTCCATCAACAAGCCGGGCAGGGAGCAGCTGAAGAAGGAAAACCAAACCGGGGATTTGAAGGATTGTGCTGACAATTCTCAGCTGCTCTCTTATTTGGCGGTCCGATTCACCGCCTTTTTAAAGAAAGAAATTAGAAATGCAAAAAAAAATAAATTAAAAATAATTAAAAATTAAAAATAAAAGGAAGAAAAGAAAGGAGAAGAAAGTTGTTTGGGACTTGCCTGATGACGTGGCAGTTAGTGATCTTGTAAAAAGTAAAAAGTCTTATTAGCTCATAGTATCGTATTATGAAACGAGAGGAGCAGTCTGCCTGCATACATTTGGTACACAGAGAATCTATTGGCTTTATTATTAATTACTCCAAGTCTAAGGGAGATGGGGATGGAGATGGAGATGCAGACGGAGGGATCATCGGAGAGCTATTATATAATTATCAGAAAAACCGTCAGTCGCGGGAAAGTATCCGTGGCTGATATACTATCGCGGAAAAGGATTCAGGGAGCAAACCTTCCGTACAAAAACATCTGCTGATTCTTTCAAGAGCGAGGCCAGGAGCATCCCAGAATTGTGGACAAAGAAACACCCATTGCTGCCTTTGATCCAATAACAAAAGACGTACAATCTATTGGCTATGCATTTTCAAGCTTCATTTTACATCCTGTCCTTCTTCTTCAGATTCTTTAACTGTTGGTGTGATGTATAGTTGTATACAAGCTCACAACTTTATGTCCAAATCAAGAATCCAGGAGATGACGACTGGCATTTTGTGGAATTGGCTGCCGACTCAAGTTTCAAGCCATGTTCCAATGCTCCATTGTTCTACCAAGGATCCTTCTATTGCACCGGGAAGGATGGGAGGGTCGAAGTTGTAGAATTGAAGAATAATGGTCGTGTACGTTGATTGGAAAGTTATTGACAAGCCTCTAGAGAGCCTTGCAAACATTCTTGCATGCCACTTGACTAGTAGGATTTCCTTTTGATTTGATGAATTCTAACATCTAATAAGACTAGGAAGGAATAAAGGAGAAATGCAATCTCATCTCTTACTGCATTTGATCAAGTTTTGTGTTTTTCAAATGACAATTTATGGTTGATAAAAGATGGTATTAGTACATTCATTGAGCATTTTACTGTTTAATTGAACCTTCTTCAATTATGGTTTTATTTTTAGATGATGCAACAATTCACTTTGATATTTGGCAAGGTTTTAATTTTGGTCCCAAAGTTTCACCTAAAAATGTAGCTCATAATTCAATGATTCAACCTAGAAGATTTTATTTTCATGCCAGAATATCACCTAATAATATATTTAACGATTTTATATCATACTCCCCCTTTTTTTTAATCCTTCCACGTTAATTATCGAATCCCAAAAAAGAAAAAATGAACTTAATTACCGAATCCCAAAAAAAACAATAAAAAATAACTTAAAAAAATAAAAGAAAAAACTTGTTATCAATCAGAAAGGAAAAAAGGAAACAAACGAAAGGAGAGAGACGGTGCGATGTCATATTGCGTCGTGCTAGGCTTTGGCGTGCAAGCCGGCTAGTAAAGGCAGTTCAAATTTGGGAATTGAAAGGGAAAATCGTAAATTTAATCTCAACACTTAAATCAATTTCGTCCTTTATGATTTTTTTTCACCAATTTAGTCCTCAAATAATTTTATCATTTTTTTCACTAATTTAGTTCTCAAATAATTTTATCAGATTCAATGTAGGCTTTATTGGGCGGCGTCATCACATTTTATGTATTTTGTATGGCGAGGCAAAGGTATAATTGGAATGACAAGTTCGACTGTCTAATTATAGGATTATTAGGAGAATAACACCGCACGATGTGCGGTGTGATTTTCAATATTGCCCATAAATGCCCAATTATTCAAATTTAGATATTAAATATGAAAAGTTACATAAAAATGCATCAATATCTTTGCAGTTATGTTTTTGTAATTTTATTAAATAGTAAAAATAAGCTACAGTTTTAGCTTTTCGTAGTTTTAGAAGTTTTTTTTCATAAAAGAAACTTTAAAATAATATACAATCATACAAAATGAGAATAAAATCCCCAAACAGTCATCTTGCAATTAAAAGATAGTGGGGCATAACATCATAATAAAAGATATCCTGTTGTTAGCATCCTATACATTAGCTAAACAATCTACCATCTGATTTGCTTCACTGCTTACATGCTTGATCAAGACTTGCTGCCAAAATACAATAAGATACTTACAATCAGATATAACCATAGCACATTGTAAATAGCAGTATCATATTGGTTTAAAAGATTAAAAATATTAATAGCATCAACTTCCAATTCCAGTTTGTAGCAATAATGATCTATGAAGATTGGAAGCTATTCCTGATCTTTTTACTGATCCGATGGTCCAAAATCCATATCAATTCCTTACAACTACAGCAACTCCAAGATTGCCTTTTGAAACCCTACCAGTGATAAGTTTTCAAAAGCCATCCTTGGGACGAGTCTCTATAGAATCATAACTTCATATTTTTCCCTAGCCATGGTCTGTTTGGGTTCTGAAAAGAAGTAATTAGAGGCATTCAAAAGAGGAGAGGATTGAGGTTTGCCAACATAGAAAGATTAGATTCGTTTTGATAATTCAATAAGGACCAGCCAGTGAAAGAAATCACAATGCCCCAAAGAACTTGAAAAATGGTAAAGAGTTTTCTGCTAGGTATGCTTTTTTTTCATTCATTCTTCACAGCTTAAATGATGATCAATACCAATCTCCCAAAACAACGCGTGATCATGTAATAAAATCAGTAAACAGAATAACTTTTCAATTTAACTTAAGAGAAGAAAATGTACGACCGAAGCAAATCTCATAAGGAATAGAAAAAACCACCGTTTGGATATACAACTAAAGCTCATTTCTCAGCACATCTTTATCAATAATGCAATCAAGATATGCTACATTAGGTGAGAGAAACTATTAGGTGAGAGATGTTACAAATCTAAGAGAACATCATATTTTGTTCTAGCAATTAAGTCACACAGCTCGATCAACGATTCTATTTCCGCAAATTTAACACCAGAAGGCACTAACAAATCAACGTATAAATTAGCACCAGGTCTGGTTTCTCTTTAGTGTTCTTCTCTCTCAATTTTTAGAGATTTTTGTCTTTAATCATCTAAAAGTCTCTGTTATAATCCCTATAATTAGACAATCGAACTTATCATTCCAATTATACCATTGGCCCGCCATGCGAAATACATAAAATGTGGTGGTACGCCAAACAAGTCCTACATTGAATCTGATAAAATTGTTTGAGAACTAAATTGGTAAAAAAAAAAATCATAAAGGAAGAAATTGATTTAAATGAAAAAATTTAGGGACAAAATTGACTATTTCCCCGAATTGAGATATTGAATTTTGAGGGAAAGACAGAAACCAACAGCAGAAGCAAGATATTCCTAAAAAAGTCACAAGTGAAATTTGTCGAAGAGAGGAGAAATGGGGAAGGGGATTGCAGCACAAAATCTAGGAGCAGACGTGATCCAGCTATTAGATCAGTTGGAGCGGCACTGCTTAGCTCCTGATGTTCTCTCATTGCCAAATCCACTCACTACGATCTCCAACTCGTACTTTCTCCTCTCTCTCTCTCTCTCGTACAATTTTATCTTCTTCCTTTCTCTATGTTATCACAAAATGAATTTGAGGTAAGAATTTAGTGCAAATGTGGATTGGATGCAGGCGAGGAGGAAATGTGCAAAGAACGACAGCGTTATTTGGAAGCCTTGGTATTCTCTCTACTGAGAATCTTCGTTCTTTTTTTTTTTGGGTTTGTTTGTTGCAGTTAGTTTTGCTTTCTTTTTTCTTTTTGACACATTTAATTGATACCATCTGTGTTAATACAACCGTAGGCAATTTACATCGAGGCGATTGCAATGGTGGAAGAGTATCAGCAGGCGGTTTCAGTGGCTAATTTTGGGGGCATTCGCGATGTTCAGGGTCTTTACTCCCAGCTTGGCTTGAAGAATCCTCCTCAGGTTTTCTGATTCTTTTTCCTATATTTAACAGCAATTGTTGGAGTATTTCTGTAAAATTTTCTAAGTAGTATTTTCTCTGCAAGATGGGAATGCGAAACTACTTTAGCTAAGCGTGCTGCCATTGTTAGTTTTCTGTGCCATATAAGCTCGATATAAATGCATTTTATTGGCATCACTGGAGCTGATATGTATCAAAGTCTCATGTGAAGTCATTCCCAAGCATCTGTTATTATGTAGTTATGTAACTGTCTGTTGACTTGAGTAAAGGTAATATTAGGTTGCATTTTGAGATCTCGCTCTTTCTGTGTATCTATCTTGTTCCCTGTCATTGAGCAGGATTTGTCGATTTGAGCCTTGTAAAATGGACCCCACTTCTACAGACTTTTAATTGAAAAAAAAAAAGTTTTACTTGAGGACATGTTAAAAATTGCACTGTGATATACATTTCAGCTTTACGAGCTCTTGAGCATCGAATGGTCGTGGCAGAAGCTGCTCAGAAGCTGAGGCTTCCCCTGATATCCAAAGATGGCGAAATACACGAGGAAGAAATTGAAAAATGGAGTATAATGTCAAGAAGCTCCTTGATAGTACCTGTACCAGTGTCACAATTAGCTCAAGCTCAAATTCAACTAATTATACAAATATTTCAGCACTTGGCACCTCTGCTCCTGCCAGCACTATGATCTCAGTGGTTGTCGCTGATGCATCAGAACCTGAAGTTGGTGGTGCTCCTAATCGATACTTGGAATCACTCCTGCTTATTTGTGGCAAACTCAACTTCAGCAACTTCCATTACCTATGGTATGACATCAGATGACTTTATCCATGGACAGAGATTTCTTTACTGATAATTTGTGCAGTTAGAGAATGTCTTGTATGCTTGATCTAAAAGCAACCTTTTGCTCTTTGGTTCCTTTGTATGACACGTGATCAAGTGGAAGTTCTGTTTCTGATATGTGAATTTTTTTTCTTAGTTGGAGCTACTTTGGAAGAATAAAATGTTGAACCAATGAACTAAAAACCTGTTCTGTTATGCAACTGTAGATATGGCAGAATACCAGATGTCACTTGCCCGGAGATTGGCAGTCGACTAGACATTAAGTCTGATAAGTTAATAGATGCTATGGTTACAGGTGACATCGGTAAGTCAAGATATTTGTAGTTGTTTCGATATTGTCCTAAAATATTCCTGCTTGTGGATGTGGATTGGTTGCCTGGTCACTATTGTCCGTGAGCATTTGCTATAGTGGCAAGTTCATTGACCTGGAAAAGCTACTAAGTTCATAGGCTAAAAGTTCTGATTATTGGTTGTTACACTCTTAAACTAACTTGATAGTGAATGGACATCTGGGTGCCTGCGTTTATTCCAAATTTTGATAACTATGAAGCAATGAATAATGAATAGGGAAAATGATCATCTTACTTTATCGATTTCCTAGCCATGCTCATGTTATTTTTGCTGAACTACTGAGTATGACTTACTTCAAATAATTGCGTTCTCTCAACGCCCAATAGTAAACATTTTCATACTTGAAGATTTTGGTCATTTTAAGTTTTCTTACAATACTTGCTTGTAAACACTTCCAAGATATAAAGTTCCTTTATCTTTGCAGATTCACCAACCAGTGGTCCAAATTCAACTGCTAGGCTCCCAGAAAGGTCCGAGCCTTGATATAAAATTTTTTTTCCGGCACCTTAACATGACAAAGGTTCTGTTTTTATGGGTATCTATGTTATCAAGTTAAAATGTTTCTTATGCACTGGCTGCTATTTCGTCATTCTGATGTAAAGTGCCACATCAAGTGTTGATAATTCAATGAACTCCCATAGTTTTGGCTGCATTTGCCAGTTTTTCTTGTATCTTTCAGTGATCTTTAGCCGGTTCTTGTCAGTGTGATTCCATTTAATCATTGATAAAATATTACTACCAGTCTCAGACTCTGATGACTCTTCTTAATGATTATTTAAATGCTCAAGAGGTTGTGCAAACGTTACTGTTTTGTCATTCTGTTGAAGTGAAAAACAATCCACTGAAAAATGTGATTCCATTTAGAGAAAATTCTATTAATGTGACCATAGATTCAGGTTTTACCCCCTCCCTCCGCCTCCCTCCCCACCATCGCAGACCAAAAAATAATAATAATAACGTCAAAATACACATAATTGTGCCTTTTTTCCGCTTAATCAGAATTCCCCAAGTTATTACAGGGTCCAGCAGGATTGTTTTGGATAGCCTGTATAACTTCTCTCGAATTAAGTACATACACATATCATTTTTAGGTGCTATTTTACACTAATATTAAGTTATTAGTGCATAAATGTGATTAAGCAATAGATTGGCTTTTAACTTTAACAGGATAAAGTTGATTATTGAGGAGATTGAGAGAGAAGAAACAGCATGGAGGGAGGATCTATATTCATCTGACAGAAAGTTTGCAGAATATTACAATGTATCGTCTTCTTGGCATCCTAAGTCCCTCCATTTTTTCTCTTCCATTTTTCTTATTGAACTTCTGGATTTACATGCATTTGCAGATGATATATAATACTTTCCATAGTTAGTTATAATTAGCACTTAAAGGTCATTCTTTCCATTCAAGGTTTTGGAGCAGATACTAGGTGTGCTAATCAAGCTTGTTAAAGAAATTAAGTTGCAGCATCAACATAAATATGTAAGTTGCCTTCCCCACAGTGTTGTATTCTTGAAGCTACAGGTTATAAACCTGATTTTGGAAATAATGTTACTTCATTCTCTGCTGTTTCCTAGTAGTTTTGTCCTTAAATGTACCTGCAAGCACAACTTCTTGACTTTTTGGTTATTCCTCACCAGATATTTAAGCTGATTATTTGCATCTAAATTGATAGGATGAACTGCACAAAACTTGGCTTTGCAAAAGGTGTGAGACCATGAATGCCAAATTGAGGTTTGCCCCACTTCGTGCTTTTTCCTTGTGATTGGACAATTTTATTTTTTCTGTATAAATTGTACATTCTGAAATCTTTGGTGTCAAGGATGCTCCGACTTGTCATCATCTGATACATTTTCAGTGAATTTTGACTACATTCTACAACCTGGATAAGGATACTTCCACATCAGTGATGCAATGAATTTAAACGCCAGAAATTTCAATTTAGTAACTACGGATCACTTGGCCAAAATTATCACTTAGAACATTCAGAAACAAACTACTACTTTCTTTTTTTTGGGGCGCCCCCGGGGGGGGGGGGAGGGGTTGTTGAGTAGTCAGAAACAAACTTGATCTTACTATTTTAGGTTTTGCGTCGAAATTTCTTCCCTATATTTCATCTTCTTTCTTTTCTCCTTTTGCTAGCGATGTGGATCAATGGTGCTTTAAAAATACAGTTCGTTAAACTATCTGTATCTAATTCCTCTCTTCATTTTTTTTTGGTTGGTCTTTCTTAAATGTAGGTTTTGCAATTGGATTTGTTCTTTGTTGCTTATCAGATTTAACATCTCTCTTTTGTGATGCTCAAGATGTGGTGAAAGTCCATTGCTTTCTTTTCTTTTCTTTTCATGACCTATATTTAGAAAGTAAATCAGGAATACTCTTTCTGGGGGCAAATAACGCAACTTGACATCTGCATGCCTTCACTAGATGAACAAAGATAGTGCATGAATGGGTTAGGGTGGTACCTTTGAAGTGTGATGATGGGCCTTTCTGATAACTAAATGGCTTCCCCAACTTGAGTTGTTTTGAGACAGATGGTCTACTGCTGTTCGCTATAGGAGGAATATAACATTCTTACCTAAATGTTGTTCTCAGAGTTCTAGAACACGTCCTGTTGTATGACACCTATACTCCAGAAACAATTGGAGCACTTCACAAGATAAGGTAAACAAAGTCAACTTTATCAGTGAATATTCTGCTGATGCCGCAGGATTAACATTTCTCTTTCTTTGCTTTCATTTTGGTTCAGGAAGTATCTGGTCGATTCTACAGACGAAGCATCACTTGCGTATAATAAAGCGGTATAATTCATTCGTATATTCTGTTTTTCAAGTTGGGGTTGTAGAATATGTGCTTTTGTGTGCAAGTCTATGCCACTGATATTGCTTGTATAGCCAATTAAGTTTATGCTTAGATTCTTGCATTATCAAATAGTTCATGATGCCATAAGATTTCCCCTGTTTCCTCGAATCATGTCTTTGAGTTTGAGTGGAGTAAGGAAGATACGTTTTAGAATTATTGTTCAGGTTGCTCGGACGATCTTCCGCTGGACTATCTTGTGTTCTTGATGCTTTCAGGTTACACGCCTTCGTGAGTATCAAGGCGTCGATCCACACTTCGATTCCATAGCCAGACAATATCATGAGATAGTCAAGGCAAGTGGGAATTAAACAGAATATATCATGGAAATTGTTTTTGTCCAGTTGTTCGTTAACTCTTTAATTGGAATGTCCTGTTGCAGAAATTGGAAAATTTGCGTTGGACCATTCACCAAGTGGAGATGGACCTTAACCGAAGCACCTGACCTATTACCTCCTGGATTCAGAGCTTATCGTATTTATTCTGTCTTGTATTACTATAACCAATAATATTAGAGTAATAAATATCCATTATATTTTGTTTTTGCACAATTCGTGAGTGGGAAATGAATATATTTTCTCTTCGATAGGCAATCATTTCTTGTGTATAATAACCAATAAATGTTGCCTTGAGCATCTTTTTTCTTTATCGATGCTCTACCCATCTGTCTTTCATAGTCCCGGCGGAGGAAGGCATGCATTCTAAGAGGTTTTTTCCGAGTTTCGAGTGCTGCAGTATACCGTGCTATAACGGGGTTGTGGACCAGTGGTGAGCTCGTACATGACATTTTTGGATTGTATTTTTTTTTTTTTTTTTTTTTTGTAAAAAAAACACTGTAAGATTTGATGTATATAAAATAAAAAAATGATTCACCGAAAACGTTCGAAAAATTGCGGTCCAAACAAGGTAATCAGTGCCGGTAGGATTTATCCCCATATAATTACGGGAAATGCTGCTCCATAACTACTATGCTTTTCCCCTACCCTTTCTGTTCTCACCGTATTTGCCAGACGGGGCAAACGGGTCGAAATAAAAGTTTATACTCTCCTCGACTTTAGCCGCATTTTGAAAATCTAGCTTGACCACATAGAGAGGAAAAATGAATCTGATGATTGGAATTAGTTTGTAAAGAAGGCCGCCAAACATTAACCAAAAAAGAAAGAAAACCCGCCAGATGAGTGCTAAGACTTGTGGATGTCGAAAAGACAGGGAAAGGGTACAAGGGCAAGCAGGATTGGATAGGATTATCATGGGATGGCTGCCCCAAATGGTCTGTCAGGTGTACATCAAAAACAACACGGGAAAATCCACCGAGTTCCAAAGAAGCTGCGGAACAAACTTCCCGTTCGATGAGTTAGCCACCACTTGATGCAGATTTGGTTACGAATTTAAATCTCTAAACCTCTGCCTTTAAACTTTAGAGGATGTGCATGTTGTATATTTTTTAGTTTAGAAGTGAAATTCTCTTTTTTTTGACCTCTTTTAATTCAATTAGACCTCCTCCTCTCTTTTTTTTTTTTTTTTATAAAGGATGCATCATATCCTTTGATTTAGAAGTAAGATTCTCTTCTTTTAATTTTCTTAATTTACTTGGATTCTCGTCCTAAAATAATAAGTTGTAATAAAATTTAAAAGGCGTGTAACAGCCCAATTCCCTTTTATATATATATATATATATATATATATATATATATTTATTGAGAGGTGAAATTCCCTCTCAAATAAGAAGAGTAACAGTAAGAGTTATGATTTGACCCAAAATGAAGCCATAGATGTTGTGGGCGGTGTCCTGGTCCATCTGGATCCTTCCCACCAACAATGACCAGAGCCCGTGATGAATCAGGAGTCTTTCCATGAGGCATCAACAACGCGTTGCCCACACAAACACTTACCCCACCGTGGTGATTCAACTTCCACAAATCTCTTTCTGCGTTGTCGTCACGGCTGGCTCCAGTGCGTTGATTCTACGCGATCTCTGTAGCTGCAAATTCCCCAAATTGCCCAGCCGCCGCCCCACGATCTAATATCCTCCCCACTCCCCTTCGCCTTCATCTAAGGTTCATATATATACGTAGTAGTATCTGTTAAGCATCTGGATATAAATGGAAATCCACATTAATTGCAAAACTAGTGATGCATGACATGAGGGACGCTAAACCGGGGTCAGAATAAACCCAACCACAATTAAGTTCGTGTGGCTACAAAATTAAAGACCCACCCATCTCCCACCGCCTCCTTCCTCCCTATAAATACCCACCCATCCCTTGTCTTCCTTCCATAATTTCTTCTACGGCTTTTATACGCGTTCGCTTTCTTTCGGTCTTCGTTTAAGAGGTTAGTTTTCTGCCCGCTTCTCCCGCTTTCCTCTTCAGGTTGTTAAAGTGTTGATCTTTTTTTTTTCTTTTTCCTTTAATTTGTTAAGACTCTGCGATCTCTTAGTTTTAAATTATAGGGTCTTTATTTTCATTTTTTTTTTTGTCTTTGAACACTATGCGATGCTTTTCTTAGTTTTATTATGGGGCCTGATGGTAGCCCGTGGGTGCTGCGCTTGTTGATACATGAAAATTTTTTTTAGTTGGTGGGGAAGGTGCTGGTTTGTTTGTGAAATTCAATCCATGATGAGATTTTGCTACGTTAGTATAGGCTGTGACCCTTTTGAATTTGATCGTAGGTTGATAAAAGATGTTGGGTTCATGGTAGCATGAGGTACTAGGGTCGTTAAGGATTTGTTAATATACATGTGGGCTTATGTTCCCGTCTTCGTTTTTCTACATAAAAATTTTTGGAAGCTGAATTCAGGATACTATGACCTCTGGATTAACTAATGACAGATATCAAGATATATGGGGTTGCTTTTGTATTTGTAGTTACATTCTTGGACTATAATTATGAGCTATGCGAGCTTTTATGATTAATCAGATGTACCGATTTAGTTTCTTTCTCTTTCTTTCTTTTTTGTCATTTTGATTTACAAAGTAAAGTTCTTGGATGCTGACAGATATTTGTTCTTTGTCTACAGCTTTAGTGCCGATATTTCCGCTTTCTGATCTCAGAAAGTTTTCGAGTTCCAATCCAACAAATACATGGTTGATCTAGACATCCAAATCCCAGCTGCTTTTGATCCATTCACCGAGGATAAGGACTCAGGTGCCCCTGGTGCCAAAGAGTATGTTCATATCCGTGTTCAACAAAGGAATGGTAAAAAGTGCTTGACAACTATTCAGGGGCTGAAAAAAGATTTCAGCTTGGAGAAGATACTGAAGGATCTTAAGAAAGAGTTCTGTTGCAACGGGAATGTGGTGCAAGACAAAGAGCTAGGCAAAGTCATTCAACTTCAAGGTGATCAGCGCAAGAATGCTTCTCAGTTCCTTGTGACTGCTGGAATTGTCAAGAAAGACCAGATCAAGATTCATGGTTTTTAAGGATTATTATGATCATCTTGTCTGAAGAAAATAATATATAGTAGCAGTATTTTGCATTGGTGTGTGGCATCTGAGGATTGCCTATTATAATATTCGTGTTAGTGTTTGTGTGGATAGTGGGAACTATTCGCGTTAGTTGGTGTTGGTTCTCTTTCATTTGATAATGTCATGGGACAAAAAGCGGTTTGTAAGACTACCTTCTTATTTTTTCAGTAATAAAGGTATAATTGATATATTTACTTGTGTATTTGCTTTTAATCTTTTAATATTGTCATTGTAAATAATGCGTCAAATCGTTGCTTTGATTTCTAATTGGTATATATGATGATTCCTTCAAAGATCGAGGGATAATATATTGGATTAAACCGATTTCCAAATCTAAGATACTCTTTGTGGCCTTAAGCTGTCATCTGAGTGGCATTCAAGTTTGGTGACGACTTCAGAATACATCACAGAGAACTACGGTTAGATGCGTCATGCGTTCACTCGTCACTGGAGGATGTTCATTTATTTGTGGGGATGTTTGGTGGCTGGGAGGAATTTTGGTAGAGTGAGTTTTGGTGGACAAGATTAAGATAACTTGGTTTGTAGAGGTGGTTCTCGCATCCTGGCTGAGACTGCCTTTTGCATCTGTTGTTCTTGGCAGTTGAGGTTTTTTTGGCAGTTGCAGACGAGAGCACATGACATCTGAAACTTGTTGACCCATGGCTTTTATGAGCTAACAGGCGGTTGCAAGTTAAAAGAGTGTAATGGAGAGAGGATGGATTTACAGTAAGGAGCAGATCCGCCTTTCTCATGCGGAGGAGACGGGGCAGGGACAGTTATTATCAGAAGGACGTCTCTGAACAGTGTACGGTCAGGATTTGACTCAAAAAAATTGTACGGTTCAGATCCTTCCTGTATTTGTATTCATTTTAATAACGTGTGTGAGACTTACAAAAATTTGTTCTAAAATTACACGTTGTGCAAATAAAGTTACGTCATGTGCAAATAAAGTTACGCGGTATGTAAAATGCACAACGTAATCCCCATGCAGAATGCATAACGGTGTTATTACGGAAGACTATTTTCATTTTTTTCATTTAAAGAATAAATCAAAAAAGAAGAGGGGATTAAATGCTAGGTTTAGACATCCAGATTTTCCCCCCTCCTCCAGACATCCAAAGGAAGGTTGTTTAAAAAAAGGCTGGATAGATACTGAGGAAACAGCAGAAAGAGCAACAACTGAGCTGGAACAAATCACAAAACAAATGCTATACTTTAAATTTCCAAACTGAAAGCCTGCTGGACAGCTGCTGCTCGACTTAGTAATGTAATTTGTGACCGAGAAGAAGATTTAACCCGAGTCATAAAGCTTAAGATCTTGGAGCTTTGAACTAGAAGAGCTTGTTTGGCTGTTTTGTACCACTTCTCATCATTGTGCAGAACTCTTCATAATTGATTCTTCCATCCTGGAATATTGACGGCATAAAAAATGCAGTACTTGGTGAGCGGGCAAACATGATCAAAAGTCTTTAGAGACCTGCAACGAAGGAAGAAGAATACTCACATTATCTGTATCCACTTCAGATATTATCTCCTTTATGGTGGCTGGGTCACCCATTCCATAATCTTTCATAGCAGTTTCTAACTCATCTCTCGTAATGAACCTAAAACAGCATAGAAAGAAAATCATGGGTTTACGACTGTGCAATAGTTAGTGCATCAACAACACTCTTAAGAGATGATGCCTAATTCAGATGGCATCTTACCGTTGGAACTTACCCACTATTATCTTTATCAAAATACTGGAATGCTGTATAAAGGTTTTCTTCTCTTTCTAGTTTGTGCTTGTGCATTGTAGCAGTAATGAACTCAATGTAGTCTATTGTCCCATTTCCATCAACATCAGCCTGAAAGTTGGCATAATAGCAATTAGTTTCAGGATATTATAGCATAGCATGAAGGAAGAGCTCTACTGAACTTACAGCTTCCATTAACTGTTTAACTTCTGCCTCTGTGAGTTTTGACCCAAGTCGAGCAAGTCCACTCTTTAGTTCTTCATATGTGATTGTGCCACTGTTGTCAGTGTCCATATTTTGAAACATTGCTTTCAGCCCTTGGATTTCTTCTGCAGAGAGACTTTCTACAATGACCTGGAATATGATTTTAAATCAACCAACAATCAATTCTGGTTTGTAAGATGAATGTGCCAGAATTTACCATGTACATTGGCATTGCCACATTAGTAAGTTGCTTAGA